CCCGCCTCGGCCTCCCAGAGTGCTAGGATTACGGGCGTGAGCCACCGCGCCCAGCCAACAACTTCTTTTTTCTAACAGAGGAGATTCCCTAGGTCTCTAAAACTCACCTATTTCATGGGCTTTTCCACTTGCTTTGTAGACAGTTTCACTGAATAAAGTGGGGAAGACAATGTGATAATACACCACATGCCTAAACACCACAAGCATCAGAAGTACAGCTAAGAGGGCAGTCCAGTCCAGACACAGCTTGAGTGATTTTGCTGCAAGCTCTTACATAGTCATTGTATTTGATTTGGATAGCCAATATAAGGTAAAATTCAGAGAGCAGGAGTTGAGATGGGGAAGATTCCTGTGTGTTTATCCCCACAGCAGCCTTGTGAGTTCAGGTGGAGGGAGGGAGCATCTGGGGCTCAGAGGTGGTGGCTGCCAGGCATTCCAGTGGTCAACCCAGGTCAACCCAGCTGAGAGCACTATCCTGGAAGGTCACGGAGGTCACAGGTACAGCCCTGTTGTCTGGTGGAGGTTAATGAGGAAGGCCACCCACCTCATCAGGCAGGGATGGGTTTGTGCTACCACACAGCCAGGCAGGGGTCCTCCACCTCAAATTGGGGTGCAACCCCAGGCCCCCCCACCAGGCACATGTTTGTGCATGTGATTTTGCTATCAGGATCAGAAGGGTCACAGGCTCCACAAAGACTACCTGTGGATCCAGGGTTAAGTACTTCAGTGCAATGTGTGGTGCTTGGTTTTTTTGGCTTTTTTAGAGATGGGGTCTTTGCTGTGTCACCCAGGCTGGAGTGCAGTGGCGCAGTCCTAGTGCACTGCAGCCTCGAACTCCTGGGCTTAAGTGATCCTCCTGCCTCTGCCTCCCAAGTAGCTGGGACTACAGATGCCACCATGTCCAGCTAATTTTTTTTTTCTTTTTTTTTTAGAGATGGGGTCTCAGTATGTTGCCCTGGCTGGTCTCAAACTCCTGTCCTCAAGCAATGCTCCCACCTCAGCCTCCCAAATCACTGGGATTATAGGGTGTGAGCTACTGTGCCCAGCTTGGCTTTTAATTCATTTCCCCAGAAATCATTCTACTGAAGGCTGGAATGAACCTTCTAGAAAGGAAGTGTTCAGATCTCAGCTCTGTGTCACAGTGGGTTGTGTGACCCTAGGCAATTTACTTGCCCTTGATAAGCCTTAATTATTGCCAAACTGGGGGCCACAATAATGTTGGCCTCATCATGTCGTTATGTGGATAAAGAAGGAGAATGCAAAAAGCACCTAAAGCTCCTGCCACATAGTGGGGTGTCCCCTTCCTTCCTACAAGGAGGAATTCAAAACCACCCAACTGGCAAGAGGCTGAGAAGACACAATGTCAACTTGTGCCTATTCACAGCTGGGTCTGGTTTGAGAACTGAAATGTGGTTTTAAAAAGCAGGCCCTTTTGATGACAAATGCAGACATTGTGCACAGAAAGTGAAATGAGGTGACAGGAGACTTGAGGCCAGGAGTTCAAGACCAGCCTGGGCAACATTAGCAAGATCCCAGCTCTACACAAAAAAATTAAAAATTAGTGGGGCATGGTGGTGCATACCTATGGGCCGGAGGGGTTGCCCTGTCATTGGAGCAAGCCAAGTCACCTCCATCCTACCTCCTAAGGGGCCTGGGCGCTGGGATCGGGATCATGTCTGGAAGACAAGTCAAGCCCTGGGGAGCAGTGGTGTGAGCAAAGGTGGTTCTAAAATAGCAGACCTGCCCTCTGCCAGGGCTCCACTTCCTCAGGGCAGAGTTGGCAGTTCACAGTGTTCAGGGTTTTAAGACTATGAGACTCTGGTTTTGGTACTAGGTTTCAGCAATTCCTTGATCTGTTTGTCCTTGAGTGGGGGCAGGATGGTTAAGAGCTCCTTGGTTTGGGATTAGACCCAGCTTTGCATCCCAGCTTATGCACTTTCTAGCTGTGTGAGCCTAACCTCAACTTCCTCATCTCTAAAGTACAGTTAATGTTACTGAGGTCTGAGTACAACGGAATATTTCTGAGCCATAAAAAGAAATGAAGTTCTGACACCTGCTACAACATGGATGAACCTCAAAAATATGCCCGATAGAGGAAGCCAGACACAAAAGGCCACACATTATGATTCCATACATATATTTATATGAAATGCCCAAAATAAGTAAATCATAGAGAAGAATGCAAATTGGTGGTTACCGGGGCACGGGGTAAGGAGGGCTGGAGTGCAGTTGCTTGATGGGAATGGAGTCTCTTTTTGGGATGGCGGAAGTGTTTTGGCACTATATAGAGGTGGTGGTTACACAACATCGTGACTATACAAAGTGCCAATGAATTGTTTGATTTAAAATGGTCAATTTTATGTAGCGTGAATCACCTCATTTTTTTTTTTAAGTAAAAAATAATATTATCACCCTGTAGGGGTATCTGGAGGATTAGGTGGGTTGGTCCTTGTAAGGTGCTTAGCACAGTGCCTGGCATGTGTACACTGCCAGTAATTCGCTGCTGTGATCATTCGTGTTGGGGGAAGGCGGAAACTTGTATGTCCTAAAAACACAATTAAGTTACTGACCAGGTGAGGTGACACCTGTAATCCTAGCACTCTGGGAGGCCAAGGCAGGGAGGATCACTTGAGGCCAAGAGTTTGAGACCAGCCTGAGCAAAAGCGAGACTGTCTCTACAAAAAATAGAAAAAATTATTAATAGCTGGGCATAGTGGCACATGTCTATAGTCCCAGCTACTCAGGAGGCTGAGGCAGAAGGATCCCTTGAGCCCAGGAGTTTGAGGTTAAGTGAGCTATGATGATGCTACTGCACTCTAGCAGGGGTGACAGAGTGAGACCCTGTCTCAAAAAAAAAGTTACTCATGTGATTGTTTATTTTATGTTGATTCCCTTAGCTTCAGTTTCACAGGCTGACATTTTCTGACCTCATCGCCAATCTACTAAATAGAAGGGGAAATGATAATTCTTATGCACCGACAGCCTATTTTCTCTAATAAAGAGATTCACTTCCATAAAGTAATACATAACACTTTGCAGCGATTAAACCAACGTGGATGGAACATGGGTTTTAGGCACATATACAAGGGTAGAGAAGTTAATTGAAGCTGGTTAGATTTTCCTACATCTTTGAGTATAATATACAAAACTGAAGTTTCATTGTCAGTTATTGGTAACATTTTGTTTTTAATTTGTCTTAATGATTTTACCTTTATTGTTACAGCATATTTGTTTTCTCCTTTTAAAAAGTTCCTGGCCAGCAGCCGATTGTGGGGGCTCATGCCCATAATCCTAGCACTCTGGGTGGCCGAGGCAGGAGGATCGCTTGATCTAAGGAGTTTGAGGCCAGCCTGAGCAAGTATGAGACCCTGTCTCTACAAAAAATAGACAAAGAAATTAGCCAGGCATGGTGGCGCATGCCTGTAGTCCCAGCTACCGGGGAGGCTGAAGCAGGAAAATCTCTTGGGCCCAGGAGTTGGCGGCTGCAGGGAGCTATGATGACATCACTGCACTCTAGGTGGGGCGACAGAGCAAGACTCTGTCTCAAAGAAAAAATAAAAAGGAACAGGTGGAGTTAATTCTAATAATGCATCCAAAATATTAGCATTTCAGCATATAATCAATATAA